TTTGTAAATTGTTATGCATTCACATCCTCTTTAGCAGTGTCTCTGAAGTACATGATCAGTTTATTTGTGAAAAACCAAATGCTTTATGATGTAATAAATCTTCCCGTTAGCCATCAGAAACAGATCTGTGAAGGTTCTGGGTTTTTTTAAACGCAACGCGCCGGTGATTTCAGCTTACACTGACAGGAATTCTAAAAATACATGCAAATAAACTCAAGAACCATTTACAGAACAATAAAAAGTTTTTTTATTGATCAGTTCGCAATAACTGTTAATGTTTTTATTTCATATTCAACTCACAAAATATGTAGGCAAAGGTTGGAGATAAAAAAAAGTCCAAATGGGTTCAAATGTTAGAATCTTCTTTTCATGCAAAATAGAGCAAAAATAATGTACCTATTTGTAGCATTACCGTGAATATGGAGGAAGCTCTAATAATAATAAAAGTTGAGTTACTCTAATTTGGTCTGAAGTGTTGCTCTTCACTTCTTACGTTTAAAATAGCAACATGGGACGGACTGAGCTTCTATACCCGCTGAACCAGGGGTGGAAAAAGTACTTTTTATTTCTTACTGTAAACACAAGTAGCCTTTGGGTGAACACTACCAAGCATGGAAAGAACACTGAAGAGCAAAACTTAAAACACAATTTTCAAAAGGGAACACAATGAATTACACACTGAATGTATGACAGTGCCCACTTTTCTCTGAGACAAAGATTAGACATCACACAAATTTTGAGACAAAACATTTTATTTTTACAGTCCCCCCCCCCCCCCCCCCAACACACACACACAAATTTTGAGACAATACATTTTATTTTGACAGTTTACCCATCCCCCCACCCCACCCCCCACCCCCACCCACCTACACAAATTTTGAGACAAAACATTTTATTTTTACAGTCCCCCCCCCCCCCCCCCAAGCATAATCATGGGGCATCATGCCGCTAGTCTCTGTCTGGCCAGAGGGCCTCATTACAGTTTTTTTCGATTGCTAAAACGCGTTTTTCAAAACTGTACGTTTCTTTCAGAACTGCACACACAAAACCCCAAACATAACACACAAATCCCTAAACCGTGGCTTCCCTTTGCAACAAAACCCTGCCATCACGCATCTTAACATGTTCCCGAAATGGAACACATGTTTTCATTTGGTGAACACAGCCACATTTTCACATGACACACACATACCATTCATTGCTTAAACACAAGTAGCCTTTGGGTGAACACTACCAAGCATGGAAAGAACACTGAAGAGCAAAACTGAAAACACAATTGTCTAAATGGAACACAATGAATTACACACTTAATGTATGACAGTGCCCACTTTTCTCTGAGACAAACATTAGACCCCCCCCCCCCCCCCCCCCCCCTACATTCAAGCACAATCATGGGGCATCATGCCTCTGGTCTCTGTCTCGCCAGAGGGCCTCATCAACATCACCGGCGATGTCCTCCTGGTCCAAACAGCGCTGGAAGTACCGCCTCAAGTGCCTCATGAAGCCCTGACAGGCCTCAAAGGCCACATCTCTACAAGCCTCCTCCATGGCTTGAAGCAGTGGGACCGGGCTCTGTGGATTCCTTTCGTACACCTTCCACCTCCAGACTGAGAAAAACTCCTCAGTGGGATTGAGGAAGGGGGAATAAGGTGGAAGGTATAAAATGGAAAACCGTGGGTGGTCCTGAAACCACTCATACACCTGGGCAGCCTTGTGGAAACTTATTTATGCTGCAGTCCCTGACTGCAAATTGCTCGCCAGACCCGAAAGTTTAGAGATTTGAATATTTGTGTGTTGTTGATTGAAGCTTTGAGAATTCAAGTGAGAAGTGTGTGTGAACCTGAAAATTGGTGTGCTGTGTTCTGACAGCAAGGTCATGTGAAATTGACATCAGAGTGTAAAGGAGGAAAATCAGAGTTCTAATATGATAAGGAAATCTTAAGTAGTGATAAATTGAGTCAAGCGATTGGCAACAGAAGTAGAGGTTGTGAAAACTGTGCCTCACTTTTGCTTATTGAGTTTTAGCAATAAAAAAAACTGTAACATCCTCCTAGTCCAAACAACGCTGGAAGTACCGCCTCAAGTGCCTCATGAAGCCCTGACAGGCCTCAAAGGCCACATCTCTACAAGCCTCCTCCATGGCTTGAAGAGGTGGGACCGGGCTCTGTGGATTCCTTTCGTACACCTTCCACCTCCAGGCTGAGAAAAACTCCTCAGTGGGATTGAGGAAGGGGGAATAAGGTGGAAGGTATAAAATGGAAACCCGTGGGTGGTCCTGAAACCACTCATACACCCGGGTAGCCTTGTGGAAACTTACTTTTATGCTGCAGTCCCTGACTGCAAATTGCTCGCCAGACCCGAAAGTTTAGAGATTTGAACATTTGTGTGTTGTTGATTGAAGCTTTGAGAATTTATGTGGAAAGTGTGTGTGAACCTGAAAATTGGTGTGCTGTGTTCTGACAGCAAGGTCATGTGAACTTGACATCAGAGTATAAAGGAGGAAAATCAGAGTTCTAATACGATAAGGAAATCTTAAGTAGTGATAAATTGAGTCAAGCGATTGGGAACAGAAGTAGAGGTTGTGAAAATTGAGCCTCATTTTTGCTTTTCGAGTTTTAGCAATCGAAAAATACTGTAACATGCATTGTTATGTTCATTCTTTACTTAAAACAGATTAAATCACTATGTTTAGAGGAGAAAACCTTAAATAAACCAGAAAGAAGCTCCTTTACATCTGATGCAGCTGCAGTGGAACTCTAAACCAGCCTTTGAGTGTGATATCACGCGCAACACCGAGGTGCATGTGGGTCAAAAAAAGTCAAGCAGTTTAAAAATAGAAAACAATCTCATCAAAACAGACAAATGAAACCGCTTCATAGTGATCTGAAGTGTCACACTGGCCACTGGAACATTTTGTGGTGTTTACAGACAGCGTGCAGCAGCCAGCATCCTGTTAGCATGCTGGACTATTGTGCGTTTACCCGTGTGTGTGCGTGTGCATGCATGCATGTGTCTGTGGAAAATATCAGCAGTGCTCAACCGACACTCAGCACAGAGAGACACTGACAGTGCCTTCATTGCTTTTTTTTATCAATGTGCACAAGGACTTGTTAAGTAATGCAATTCCTCGTGTTCATTTGAGTCGTTTGGCCTATTTGAACAATTGAGTGCAACTATAAAGTCATCATTTAACTATAAAGTCAGATGAGGTACAGAATTGTTATGCCGATTTAAGATTTTTCAAAAAAAAAAAAAAAGTAATGAGGTCAGATGGGATTTTTTTAATCCCACCGTTTGTTTGACCTCTCATAGTTTATTTTAAAGGGGCCGTGTCATATCTGGAATGAATGTAACCTGAAGACTTGGAAGATCAGCCAAAACACCAAAGCAGTGAACCGTTTTTAAAGATATTTGTTTTAGAATGTGGGGGAATAAGGGAAGAGTAGAAAGTTCTGCTGTTGGGAAAACTGGAGACAGAGCATGTGCTGTGATGGCAGGGAGAAGGGGGGAAACTGTCTTGGTGCCAGCTATGGGAACCCTTCTTCTTGTCTGTGGATTTCAACTCCTCTCCTCAGAATGAGACAGACAATTAGTCCCGCCCAACAGAAGTTCATGAACCCAAAATCCAATGTCTATGTGAGGTACAGGCAAGGTCACACAGACAGGCAGAAGTATACACCTTTAATACAGAATGCAGAATATGTATCAGGGGGTAGAACAGGAATAGTAGTCAAAGTTCAGAGCCAAGGTCGGTGTCCAGATGACAGATGGGGGAGAGAACCCGTGGACAGAAAACGTGGTCAAAAAAATCAGACAAGGGTTTGGCTGAAAAGTATTGCTGGAGTCTCTACTGGCACAAGGCTGTCGATCATCTGGCAGGGAGACAGAGACAGAGCTTTGCTTAGAGAGAGGAGCGCACCGGTGCAGCAGGGAGACAATCAGGCAGGACTCAGGTGAACTGTGTGAAGCTGATTAGTAACAGGAGGACTGGCAGAAAGGAAGAAAAAAAACATGACAGGCATGGCAGAACAACGTGGAATCATTACAATATCATGAGCTTTTTACCATGTGATATTATTTCCTCATGAAAAGAAAACCCAAACCCGTTTTCGGCTAAATTCATACATTTTCCTGCTTCAGCTGCAAATTGTGAGTTTTACTTTGAAAATCCTGTAAATTGCGAATGGAAACCAATTCCATCATCCGGCCCTGGTCCTCTCCCGGAAGCTAGTCTCTGATCTGAAACCTGCCTCCCCAGGCCGGTACAGGACATGTCTCTAATGGGCCATTCCCATCTTTACCGGGTCAGCCCGGGCCGGGTAGCCCCAGTCGGCCCCAGCCTGGCCCGGTTGACTCCACACATCCTTGCCTTAAGCCCATGTGGGCTGATTCTACCCACCAATCAGAGGCTTGCTCTAATGGAAGGTGTGAATTTGCTGTCAGCGGTGGGTGTGTTGGCCCTGGTCGGCCTGAAGCAGACCCCCTCGAGAAGAGGGCTGAGAATGAGCCTTGGTTGGCCCGGAAAAATACCAGGCCACCCAGATATGTAAACAACCTACGCTACCCGGCCCGGGCCGACCCGGTACAGATGGGAATGGCCCAAAAGATGTGTGGAATCAACCGGGCCAGGCTGGGGCCGACCGGGGCTACCCGGCCCGGGCCGACCCGGTACAGATGGGAATGGCCCATTAGGTGACCAGTGCTTTGTACAAACCCAGTAGTCCAGTAGTTAGAGTGCCAAGGCAGTCACTGGACTACCAAAGCCAATGCAACAGCAGGCTGGCCTAAGGCACTGTTGTAGGTGTTTTGTCAGAGCGGGAGTGGGCGGAGCTTCAATGAAACAGTTTCATTTCCAGTTATGAATTCAGGCTGATTAAAATAACTCGTATTTCAGATAAATGACATCTCAACAGTGCCACTGGTGATGTTTTATCATATACTGTGCCTACCTTTACTCGTGATCTGGAACCTTTAACATTTATTTCATCTGTCGTCTTCAGGAGGAATCTGACCAAGCTGTCGCTGCTGTTCAGCCACATGCTCTGGGAGCTGAAGGCCATGTTTCCAGGGGGATATTTTCAAGGTGACACTTTTAAGGTGGCTAAGCCTGAGGCAGATCAGTTCTGGAGGAAATCCTTTGACAACATGTATGTGGACCATGTTTGTCATGTTCAGGGTTTTGTATGCTCGTGTGCATCTGTAAGCTCTTACTGTGCTCTAACAGGTGCGTAGTTCAATGGAAAATCTTCAAAGAGAAGCTGAAAAGCATCCATCCATTTGAGGAAGGGATGGAGTCCATGGCGCTCAAATCAACAATTGATCTCACCTGTAATGATCACATCTCGGTGTTTGAGTTTGACACTTTCATACGACTGTTCCAGGTGAGCTTAGAGGATGTTTTGGAGAGCATACGTTTTCAGTTCTTGCGTGAATTTGTCAAATGAAAATGTTCTTCTCATCTGATCTCGCCATCCCCTTTTAGCCCTGGAGGTCTCTTATTAGGAACTGGAACCAGCTAGCGGTGACCCATCCAGGGTACATGGCCTTCCTCACGTATGACCAGGTTGTAGCTCGGCTGGAGCATTGCCTTCACAAACCTGGCAGGTGAACATCAGCACAACCAAAGGAGCAATGTTCTTTGTTTTAGCTATGTGGTCATAAAAGTTAACATTCTGCAAGTTAACAAGTTCCTGCTGAACAAAATAAGACATATAAATTAGTATGTGAGACTACGGGGTTTCATATTTGGTTTGGGTTGATTATTGTTAACTTATTTGCATTTTAACTTTGCCTTGCATGCTCCGACTTCTACATTTGTAGGAATGTTCACTAAAGCAAACCTGCTGTTGCCTTTTTACGAATAACTGTTTAATTTAACTTTATGCATCAGAAATACTCAAAACAGTAAGAGCAGATTTAAGCTCGTGTGTCTTTAGAGGTGCAACAAGTAAGAATTTTTCTGTGAAATAATAACACAACAGTCTCAAGTCTCAAATATGTTGGAGAGAAGGTTACATTGAAACTGATTTCCTTCTGGATGGTTGCCAGGTTTTATCCTTTAAAAAGGTAGAAGAAGAACATAGTCGTTGTTAACCCTTTGTCCCACCTCCAACTAAAAGGTTTCAGAGTCTGTGGGGTTGCCAAGACTGTGTTGGCATTTGTAATTCAACACTGAATGACTCTAATATCAAGAGTTAGTGAAGAGGGCTAGAGGCTAACATTGAGCTAACAATGCTAACAGTGCAAACAATTGGGTCTAAAACTATCTCAAGCTACTTTTTCAATTACCATCTTACTGTGTTTGACTTGTCTTCAATCGTCATCTAGAATCTTCTGACCCTGAGCCGTAAATGGCCACAGTTGCTCAGGGTGGACTCGTTTGTTTTGAATCATGGACTGCAGAACCGAGATTTAATCCACTGGATGTCATTCTTTCTTTGTGCACCTTTAAGCGTCGTCGTCATCTTCCTCCACTTATCCGGGTCCGGATCGCAGGGGCAGCATCCCAACTAGGGAGCTCCAGACCGTCCTCTCCCCGGCCACCTCCACCAGCTCCTCCGGCAGGACCCCAATGCGTTCCCGGACCAGATTGGAAATGTAACCTCTCCAATGTGTCCTGGGTCGACCCGGGGGCCTCCTGCCAGCAGAACACGCCCAAAACACCTCCCCAGGGAGGCGTCCAGGAGGCATCCTGACCAGATGCCCAAACCACCTCAACTGGCTCCTTTCGATCCGGAGGAGCAGCGGTTCTACTCCGAGTCCCTCCCGAATGTCCGAGCTCCTCACCCTATCTCTAAGGCTGAGCCCGGCCACCCTACGGAGGAAACTCATTTTGGCCGCTTGTATCCGCGGTCTCGTTCTTTCGGTCATTACCCAAAGCTCATGACCATAGGTGAGGATTGGGACGGGGTGGGCCCGAACCGGATACATGGGCGAAAGCCCGGCCACCAGGCGCTCGCTCATGGGCCCCAACCCCAGGCCTGGCTCCAGGGTGGGACCCCGGTAACCCTCCGGGCCGGGTACTCCGCCTCTTTGATTGTACATCCATGAAAGATCCTCTGAACCGTTCTTTGTCTCACTCTTCACCTAAGACCAATTTGTCATAAGAGACCCTACCAGGGGCACAAAGTGCCCCAGACAACATAGCTCCTAGGATCATTAGGGCACTCAAACTCCTCCACCACGATAAGGTGACGGTTCAAGGAGGAGTGACGGTTTAAGTGTGTTTCTACTTAAGTGTTCTAACAAACGAGGGGGTTCTTTTCTATCCAGCTACATCTTCCGTCTGAGCTGCACAAGAATGGGTCAGTGGGCAATCGGCCACGTGACCTCTGAAGGACACATCATCCAGACCATTCCTCAGAACAAACCTCTCTGCAAAGCACTTATTCAGGGCTTCAAGGAGGGCTGGTGAGTAGCACCACACACACACACACACACACACACACACACACACACACACACACACACACACACACACACACACACACACACACACACACACACACACACACACACACGCACGCACGCATACACGCACACACTCTCTCTCTCACAAAGCCCAATTATCCCCCGTGTGATTACGTTTTATTGCTAAGTGCAGTGTGTTCCTGTGCCTGCAGCTACATGTACCCAGATGGACGGGATTTGAACCCTCGCCTGACGGGTTTGTGTGAACCTTCTAGCAGGGAGAAAGTCACAGTAACAGAGGTAAGAAGAAGCCCCTCCTGTAGCAGCAGAAGGTGAATTTGTATTAATCGTTTCATATTTTGGGACATTCTTTGCTCTGTTCTGTCTCTCTGACCCCCCCCCCCCACAACCCAACAGGAGCAGTATGAGCTTTACTGTGAGATCGGCAGCACCTTCCAGCTGTGCAAGATCTGCACAGAGAGGGACAAAGACATTAAGATTCAGCCCTGTGGACACCTCCTATGTCGACCGTGTCTCACAGGCTGGCAGGTAAGAAGAACCTTTGTCTATTTACGTTAAATTCCCTCCTGCTGATGCAGCTCTTCACAGAGCAGCCGTAGCCTTACCGCAACATTTTAGTGTTCAGTGATGGGAAACACGAGGTCGAACAAGCCAGACGCCCTTCTGTAGGCCCTTGTTTGACTGGTGGGTGTTGCTTTATTTTATTGTTACACCTATTTGAATGTGGTTTGGGTTCAGAGTCAGAAATGAGGTCCGTGTTTCCCATATAAACCTTTTCTTTAAATCTGCTGCTGTTTTCAGAATGTGTGTGTGTGTGTGTGTGTGTGTCAAATAAATGATTTATAGATTTTTATTAAATAATTTGCAACATCTTGGTGCATGGTGGTGCAGTGGTTAGCACTGTTGCCTCGCAGCAAGAAGATTGCAGGTTCGATACCCGGCTGCAGTATTTATGTGTGGAGTTGCGTGTTCTCCCCATGCATGCGCGTGTTTCCTCCAGGTACTCCAGTTTCCCCCACAGATCACAACATGCCCAATAGGTTAAAACTGTACACGTCTTTGGATAAAACATAAACATTTTAATCACTGGACAAATTAATAAGTGTTTGTTACGCATACTGTTGGTGAAAAAGAAACTAAACTGATCAGTTTCTTGCCAAATAATAAGTCATATCTCTTCAAATTCAAAAATACTTTAATTCAGTTGTTTCAGTACACACAATTCTAAGATCAGACATACATACATAGACACATGACAAGAACTGGCGACTGTGGTCATTCTCAACCCGAGTCGCGCTACCGTTATAGATCAAGAGGGTTTATATGAGGATAGCCGGGGGAGGGGGAGGGGGGGGGGGGGGGGGGGGGGGCTTCAGAATCACCCCGAATAAACCTTTCTCAGTAGCCTAGTGGTAGAGTGTCCGCCCTGAGATCGGGAGATCAGGGTTCGATTCCTGGTCCGGTCATACCAAAGACTTTGAAAAAGTGGGACCCAATGCCTCCCTGCTTGACACTCAGCATTAAGGGGTTGGATTGGGGGGTTAAACCACCAAATAGTTCCCGAGCGTGGCTGTGTCTGCAACTCACCGCTCCCCCATGGGATGGGTCAAATGCGGAGAATAAATTTCGCACACACCTGTGTGTGTGACAACTAATGGGACTTTAACTTTAACTTTAACTTTGACAGAGAGGATAGCTTTGCTATGCAAAAAACAAAAAACAAAAAAAAAAAACACCTCAGACAGATATGCACACAGGCTTCAGACAACACACAACATAAGTGTCCACTAGGTGGGGGGCAGGATTGAGACTCTCCTCACTTCAGAGCATGAATTGAACTGAATTGAATCATCAGTTTCAGTACAGCGTGAACTCACAGCTGAACATGTTGCACCTCTGGATGATCCAGCCCCACATCAGGCCTGCTCACTTCTGCAGTAGTAATTTTCCAACTTTCTGCTTCCTCATTCACACACAGAATGACATTAAAGAATGTTTTTGCTGCCGCTTTCAAACCATAGCATCAGGCCCCGCCAGCCAGTTCAGGAGGTTCGCAGTTTTTAGAGAAAGAAAAGAAAGAGAAGCAGACTACTGAGTCCTGACATTTGGCTCAGAGTTTCCTGTGTGAGCTCAGCTTCACATCCTCCCCAAACGGTATCGGTTCAATTCTCGGTGTAAAGTCAACAATGTGTTTGAGATGATAGTGTTGGGAAACAATAAAGTTTTCTTCTAATTTGGTTTAAATTGTGGCCAATGAAACTTTTTGATAAACAGTAAGTTTTGATAAAACGCAAGAATGATAAAGCAGAAGTAAAAAAAAAAGAGTTCCAACGTGTCTCCACACAGTCATAGATGGTCAATAAACCCAGACAGATATGTTTAAACGTCACAAATCACCTTCATTTTCACCTCATCTTCAAAGTGGAAAAGCACGATCTAACAGCATCTGTTCAACGTGGTATTTTCCACCACGTCTTCCTCTATTCTTTGAAAATGAGTTCAACATATTCCCCTAGACAGTACAAAAGGTGTGAAACAGTTAAATTTAAATGTAAGTGAACGTATGTTTACATTGACTTTCCTTGTGTTTGCCTGTCTCGGGTCCTTGGTGATGATTTAGTTGAAGTCAGCGGGTCAAACCTGCCCGTATTGTCGCTGCAACATCAGAGGAACAGAGGCAGTCCTCGTTGAGCCCTACCTGAAACACAGCCATCAGTGGGAGGAGGGAGAAGGTGATGACAGCGACGAAGAAGACCACGAAGACATCGAAGTGGTGATAAAGGAAATTGCTGCCATGAGAAAGGTGTGTGGAGATGTAGGCCTGTTTTATACCATTTTATTTGGAACAATACTCATGAATGTTTTTTAACATATATACCGTATTTTCCGGACTATAAGTCGTACTTTTTTTCATAGTCTGGCTGGTGCTGCAACTTATATACCAAATTGTGTGTACCGCGCTGCTGCGGTCCAGGTTTCAGCTCCTCTGCCCCACTGGGAGGGTTCAAACACCTCCATCATCTGCTGCAGACTGTGGCGGGGTGCTGCGGGCGCTCTCCCCGCCGGCTGGGAGGGTTTGAAACACTGCCATCCTCTGCTGGAGACCGTGGTGCGCTGCTGTGCCCTGATTGTTTATTCTGTCAATGTTACCGGTACTTGTCTTGCAATGTGAAACACTTGGTCTCAGATTTTGTAAGAAAAATAATAAAATTTCCCCCAAAAATGTGACTTACAGTCCAGTGCGTCTTATATATGTATTTTTCTTCTTCATTATACATTTTATGGCTGGTGCGACTTCTACTCTGGAAAATACGGTACTGTATGAGTTGCTCAATCCTAACAGATTGGATTTCAGTCATCTGAAATTATTCATATCTTAAATATTTCAAGATAGTTTAATAGAAACCTGTGTTATGGATTTACTGTTGGCATCATTGTACTGATGGTGCCACAACATACCATACCATACCATACCATACCATACCATACCATACTTTACCTTACCAAATCATGCTTTACCTTACCTTACCAAGCCATACCATCTATCCTCCATCAATTTTCATCCGCTTATCCGGAGTCGGGTCGCGGGGGCAATAGCCTAAGTCGAGAGGCCCAGACTTCCCTCTCCCCAGCCACTTGGGCCAGCTCCTCCGAGGGAATTCCAAGGCATTCCCTGGCCAGGTGAGAGACATAGTCCCTCCACCGTGTCCTGGGTCTACCTTTAGTTCTCCTCCCGGTTGGACATGCCCAGAAAAGCTCACCAGGGAGGCGCCCAGGAGGCATCCTGACCAGATGCCCGAGCCACCTCAACTGGCTCCTCTCGATGTGGAGGAGCAGCGGGTCTACTCCAAGCCCCTCTCGAATGACAGAGCTTCTCACCTTATCTCTGAGGGAGGGCCCAGCCACTCTTCGGACAAAACTCATATCGGCCGCTTGTATCCGCGATCTCGTTCTTTTGGTCACTACCCAAAGCTCATGACCATAGGTGAGGGTAGAAAAGTAGATCGACCGGTAAATCGAGAGCTTCGCCTTCTGACTCAGCTCTCTCTTCACCACGACAGACCGGTACAACGCCCGCATCACTGCAGATGCAGCGCCAATCCACCTATCGATCTCACTCTCCAGTTTTCCCTCACTCATGAACAAGACCCCGAGATACTTAAACTCCTCCACTTGGGGCAGGACCTCATCCCTGACCCGAAGAAGGCGTTCTACCCTTTTCCGAATCAAGACCATGGTCTCAGATTTAGAGGAGCTGATTCTCATCCCAGCTGCTTCACACTCAGCTGGAATCGCTCCAGCGAAAGCTGAAGATCACGTTCTGATGAAGCCAACAGGACCACATCATCAGCAAAAAGCCGAGACCTGATCCTCAGGCCACCAAAATGGATGCCCTCCACACCTTGGCTTTGCCTAGAAATCCTGTCCATAAAGGTTATGAACAGAATCGGTGACAAAGGGCAGCCTTGGCGGAGTCCAACTCTCACTGGGAACGAGCCCAACTTACTGCCGGCAATGCGGACCAAGCTCTGACGCCGGTCATACAGGGACCTAACAGCCCGTATCAGAGGGCCTGGTAACCCATACTCCCGGACTATCCCCACAGGCCCCCCGAGGGACGCAGTCAAATGCCTTCTCCAAATCCACAAAACACATGTAGACCGGTTGGGCAAATTCCCAAGCACCCTCCAGGATCCCCCTAAGGGTATAGAGCTGGTCCAGTGTTCCACGGCCTGAACGAAAACCACATTGCTCCTCCTGAATCTGAGGTTCAACAATCCGACGGACCCTCCTCTCCAGAGTCCCTGAATAGATCTTACCAGGAAGGCTCAGGAGTGTGATCCCCCTGTAGTTGGAACACACCCTGCGGTCCCCCTTTTCAAATAAAGGGACCACCACCCCGGTCTGCCAGTCTAGTGGGACTGCCCCCGATGTCCACGCGGTATTGCAGAGCCGCATCAGCCAACACAGCCCCACAACATCCAGATCCTTAAGAAAATCTGGGCGGATCTCATCCACCCCTGGAGCCTTGCCACAGAGGAGCTTTTAAACCACCTCAGTGACCTCAGCACCAGAGATTTGAGAGGCCAACCCAAAGTCCCCAGACTCTGCTTCCTCACTGGAAGACGTGTCGGTGGGATTGAGGAGGTCTTCAAAGTATTCTGCCCACCGATCCACCCCGATCCTGAGTAGAGGTCAGCATGTCTGAACATGGTGTTCATTATGGACAATCCATGACATGCACAGAAGTCCAATAACAAAACACCGCTCAATGCCATACCATATAAATTCAAAACCTTGATTGGAAATCAGTTGAAGATAAAGTTTGCCTAATGAAAAAGAAGCTCTTTCCAGAACTTAAAAGAGAAATTTAGAAGCTATCAATCAAGTTTTAACACAAATCCTAAAATCAACAGGTAACCAGTTCAAAGAGGCCAACACTGGCGTAGCGATCTAAATTTTTCTTTCTTTTGCGGTGAAAAAAATTATCTTAACAGCTGCGGTCAACGAATTGATCAAAACATGGTTTACTGGTTATACCCATACTGGGAGAGACAGATGTTGTACATCTGAGAACAGCATGTATGTCTGCTCTGACTTCATGGAGGGAAAAGAAAAAAAAAGGGGGCGGGGAAAAAAAACTTGTAACCAGATTTCTCAAAAACACAACAAGTCCTACCTGCCATAGACAAAGAAGACAGACACACCTCTTACTTTTTGAAGCAAAGCCTCTGGAAAAAGATAAAATCTGTAGTTATAGCCATCATAAACCAGAGCAACATTTATAGCCTTCGTAAAACCCAAACCTCTCTGAAAACACAAGTTGTCTTTACTGCAAATTTGTAAATTACTAAACAAGTGAAAACTGTTCAATGTATTCTTTTTGCTATCACACCTGCTTATTACCAGCAACCACCCCGCCACATTTCCACCCACACTTGGGTTCCAGGGCCACTCCCAAATAGAATAGTACTACAGTAATCAAGACGCAAGGTTATAAAACCATGAATGACTATTTAAGTCTTTCTAGGAAACAAAAGACGTAACCTTTGACTGACGTCTAAGATTGTGAAATGCAGAAGACACCAACCCGTTGACGTAACTATCAAAGTTCAGAGCAGAATCACGTTTTACTGCAAGGTTGACCACATCATTTCCAAGAAGAAGTATAAGCGTAGCAAGGTCAACACACAGTATCTTGCCCCAAACAGAGCTCCAGCAAAGCCAGATTTTGTTGTAAGGAACATAATATTAATAATAAAATATAATAAAATGTAACACAATATAGATGCTTGCTTGAATTGCTGCAAAAAGATTTGGGTTTTGAGTTATTTTGGAAGATTAAAGCTTTCGGTTTCTTGTTTCTTCTAGTATTTAGTACCTTTTCCTCTCCAAAATGTATTTGGAGGTAAGATTCTTACTACAACATACTTTGAAGAACAATGCTTCAAAAATGAACTATCTGTTTTAATCCAATCAAGTTGGCCACGTTAGCATTGAAGTTTCCTGGGGCGACAGTGGCACAGGAGTTAAGTGCTCACCCCGTAATCTGTCTTTTTATTATATTTTAAATGCTAAATTTAAATCAGAAGGTTGCAGGTTCGAGTCCCGCTCATTCTGTCGCTGTCGTTGTGTCCTTGAGCAAGACACTTAACCCACGTTGCCTGCTGGTGGTGGTCGGAGGGACCGGTGGCGCCAGCGCTCGGCAGCCTCGCCTCTGTCAGTACGCCCCAGGGCAGCTGTGGCTACATCGTAGTTCATCCCCACCAGTGTGTGAATGGGTGAATGACTGATGGTGTTGTAAAGCGCCTTGGGGGGTTCCAGAACTCTAGAAGGCGCTATATCAAATACAGAGAGAAAATACAGAGAAAAAACAAGATGAAGAAAATATCATTTCTATAGCGCCTCTCAAGATAAAAATCACGAGGCGCTTCACAAAAACAAAAATTGTAAAAATATAAAAAAGCATTTAGAAAATGTTTAAAAATATATTTAAAATAAGCAAAAATAGGCAATTGGGATTTAAAAAAATGTTAAGAGAGAGAGAGAGTGAACAGGAAAGAGGGAAATCAGTGGATCCTGAGGAAGGTGGAATAGGTGGGGAGAGCAGAATAAAGAGAGAGAGGTGAAGAAGGTCATACAAAAGCCAGCTTGAACAAGTGAGTCTTCAGCTGCTTTCAAAAGGAGACCACTGAGTCCACTGATGTCAGGCTCAGGGGGAGAGAGGTCCAGAGTCTGGGGGCCACAGCAGCAAATTATCTGTCACCTTTGACCTTTAGCCTGGTGCTGCACAACCAGTAGGCTTTGATCACTGGACCTCAGGGACCTGCTGGGGGTGTAGGGACTAAGAAGATCACCAATGTAAGATGGTGCTTGTCCATGTAAGGCCCTATAGACCAGAACCAGGATCTTGAAATGAACCCTGAAGTTGACTGGCAGCCAGTGAAGCTGGAGGAGAAGCGGGGTGATGTGGGTGTGTTTGGGAGTTAAAAGCACCTCATATCTTTGCAAAGTAAGCTAGTGACGTTTAAATTGTTTAAAATATTATTTCTTTGAATTCATCTGTAAAATGTTACAAACGTTTTTTGAACAGTTCTCGAGTTTGGACTACCAGGTACCCATCTCTCACATCAGAGCTCCTCCTCTACATCGTAAAAGTGTCGGTGCTCCACAGTTCCCGTCTTCCACCGGCCAATCTCAAACATCAGAAACTAACTCGCATGCTAGTTTAGCCCGCTTCCAAGCTGTACGTGACAATAGCTTCTCAGAATATTGTTGTTACTGTTTATCTCTATGACGCGTTTCTTGATTTGATAGTTGTGACCTGTTTTTGTCTTCTCTGCAGGCCAACAGTGACAGTGGAGCACACGTACACAAACCACAGACAAACAGGTGAAGTGTTGCTGGCAGAGCAGAGAAAAGAAAAACATGGGCTGGTTGTATTCTTGTAATAAATGCAGCTAACATGTTTTCCATCATCACATGTTCTGTGATGTGTTTTACTCATAATAGCGTTTTTTTTGTACATTTATTTAATTTTGTATGAAATTTGAATGTGTCCAATATTAAGTGACTTCTTCAAAACATTTGCAGCTATAAAAATTTTTCTGATTCTCATAGAAACAGCGCTGATTTCCTCGAAGAAACAACTCGTTCTTCCGCTAATGCTGAGTGTAAGTTACCGTGTGTTACTGTCTTGATTCCTGATATTTATTAGCTTGGCTTAGCTTAGCTCAGGAGTTAAATGTAGCATTTAAAGTATAATAAAAAGAACTGTGAAGGTTGAGTAAACACTATAAAAGTTGATGAATGTAGCTTGGACAAATGCAACAACTATTTTCAGGTGTGAAAAACGTCTGATAACTGATATGTAGAGTCTGAAATAAAATAGATAATTAACTGTTGAGTATTAAAGGCCAAATCAAACAAAGCAAAAGTAAAAAAATTTAAGTTTGAAGTGACAATGTAAAGAAAAACAACAAATATTTATTTCAATATGTACAGTTCAGAGTTTTAAATAAACATTGGAACTAAATTGCCTTATTTTTGTTTAAGGGTTTTACTTCATCCCATGTAGCTCTAGTACTCGTTGCTTGATTTAACAAAATCATGCTGTCATGAGAAGAATATTTTATCTCAGCCATAAATTAAGTTTGTCTTTAAGACATTTTAGGCACAAAATAAATGATAGTTCTGAGATTTACCTTTTTAAAGGTGTGGAACACTGAAAAACATTTTTAATTATTATTTCTGATTCTAACGGGTCACTCTGAGTGTTTCATGCAGGCTGAACATGAAAATAGTCTCCTACACCTATCTCCTGCATTAGCTTCTTATAGAAAACAGACGGTGAAACTCTAGGATTAGAAAAGCCTGACAGATCTACGTCACCCTGTCACTTAACATTCATGGATTCACCCAGGGGCGGATTTAGGACTTAAGAAGATCCGGGGCTTAACACACGCGTGCGCACACACGTGACACGCACTTGTCAACATCATATATGTCTTGCACCACATACTTTTTAATCTGAAGCTACATAATAAGCATATTCAGGGCAGAGTATTGTTCCTGTTAGTGTTTAGTGTGAGATGATAGTAAATATTCCCTTTCTTTCTCCAACAACTTTACCTGATAGTAAGCTAACTTTAGGCAAACCAGCAGCACAACAAATATTTTCAAATAAGACTCACAAACCTGAGTCAACACCAGTCTCATCAGAGCTGGGGTTCTGTCGTTGTACTTTTGGTCTAAAAAACGTCCTTATGTCCATCTTCACTCATGCGTTTCAGGCAGAGAGTGTAGAAGAAGCCGGCTGCTGAAGGGCTTCTTCTTCAGTGGTGGAGGCTCAGGCAGGCTGTATACCAACTACTGCCAGCTGCTCCCTCTCTGTTGGACTTTGGTACTGCATGTTACTTCCGCGATTTAGATCCGGGGCTTTCCATGAAAGATCCGGGGCTTCAGCCCAAGTAGCCGGCCCTAACGCCGCCCCTGGATTCACCCATCTTGACTCACGACGGGGAAGGCTGTTGTTGGTTTAGCGTCCAGGAAACAGCAGAGAACGTCTCTGCTAATAGAAGCTAACAGTTAGCATTAGCAACTTCAACAGGCTTGTGTTATTTGTGGAGACAAAACATCAACGTTGCAGAGCAAATGAAGTCGGTGGTCGAGTCGTGTTGCTGTTAACCATTCAGAGGTGAGATGTCCAAATATCAGGAAATAAAACTACAAATGTTGTCGTGTTAAGCTCTCCTTTAATGTGGCAATCTGCTACTTTCTGAAACAGATGCATGTGATCATTTTCCCCCAGAGTACGATTTACAAGGCATTCATTCCTACTAGAGGCCGCTGCAAATGTGTGAACCACACATTTAAAGAAGAGTTTGCGTAACACAGGTTCCTGTTTATGTAACCAATTAATGGGTCCCTAAATTTATCTTTACCCAGGAAGTAGAAGACAGCACAGTTTCCAAAACATTTAAACTAAAGCCCAATCCCAATACTCACACTTCCACCCTTCAATTGCTCGATCCCAGCCAGGGGTGTGAGTGCGTAGGGTGTCTCCATTCTCAAATGCGGAAGTTGATCACGCTCCTTTTGCACCCTGATCCGCACTGCACCCAAGTCTGCATCCATTGCTGCGGGAGAAAAGGCTCAAGTGCCTTTACTGAAAATGTGTACTTTCTAATGAAAGTACTTCATTTAGGATGATTAGTTGGTGCTCTGAAGCTTTTAGACAAAGCAGCAATGAATGTAAATGTATTTCAAATCATTGTTTGGTTGTTTGTTTGAACGTTTTTAATAAAGTTTATTTTTTTTTAAAGTATCACAGCGGCCAGCATCACGACATGCGTTTCAATCAATGATGCAATGCTCCCTGTCTCAATCTGGCAATTATTTGCACACTTGTGTTGTGTACTACGCACTCGAAGCCTGACAGCGCACTTTCTCCAAGTGCACTTTGCTGAAGACCGCAGGGCACAGCGTGAGTTTTGGGTTTGGGCATTATTTGTGTTGATTTGTGTTGAACTGTAGGTAACTGTAGAATAAGTCATCCAGAAGCACAGAAAAGATGAATAATTTATCTGTTGTTGATCAGACAAATGTTTAATTTTCATCTCAAATGTGCTAAGAAATAGATTTTGATTTGCAGCTGAGGGGATGGAAGAAATCTCATTGAAACAGCTATGACACAAAATGTGACCTAAAAAGCTTTAAAAGAAACAAAAAGGGTCTGTTGCACTCATTTCGTTCAAATCAGCAGCCTGTTTTTGTGTTCTTCTCCAGTTGGAGCATCGTGGATGGGACCATCCAGCCCAGTTTATGAAAGAAGACGTAAAGAAAAGGAGAAAACTGCAGCAAGACTTCAGAAAGACAAAGCCGGATTGAGTGAAATTACAAGAATGATGTCATCCTAAAGTTTCAAAATGGCTAAATCTGAAACCTAAAAGACTGAGACCGTTCAGCGAATGTAAACACGTGCTCCTGTTTGGGTTTTTGTTTGTTTTATGCCTGACTGTAAACGACCTTGCGCCCGTTCTGCAGCACAGCTGGAAATGAAGAGAGAGGGCTGAACCAACAAAACAACCAAACCACGGTGGCGTCCAACTGTTGGATAATCACGCTGCTGTTATCTGTGCAGTGACTTCAGCACAAATTTCTAAATATGGCCTCTCACACTGTCTTCTTTTTTAAATCAAGGCATTTAATAAACCTCAGAGAAATGAAATAAAGGCTGGAAATTTGAATTATGATGATAATGAAAGAGGCTAATCAGAAAGCATGAGAAAATATCGGCAAGTGATGAAAAACGCTTCCTCCAATTCCCATTTTTATTAATATACATGTAATTAAAGGACTCTTTTAGTTTATTAATCAGTTTTAATAGCAACAAGTGCTCCTGCTGGTGAAGCATTCTCCATTTTTCCTCAAACTCATACACACTAATGAATGAAAATGATTAAGTAACCAATTATCTTATTTACTGAGACTGTGTGTTATGATAAAAATATTTCAATTGTGACAAAGAGATTGTTGCCTGCTCTCTTGTAAGATAAAAGTTTAGCGAATAGTTAGAGAGGACTGGGTTGAGGACGAGAAAAGGTTTCTTCAGGGATTGTCCTTCAGAGTGTCTTCAATCCAGTAGAGGAACTCACACACCTTGACGTAGACGCCGGGGAAGTTGGGTTGAGCACATCCCCGGCCCCACGACACCAGACCGTGCACCTCGCCGACACACACCAGAGGGCTGCCCGAGTCCCCCTGACGAACACAGACGGCGTGAGCAAATGCATCAAACGTGTACGTGTGGATCCTGCGGGTGTAAAACTCACATTGCACGCATCTCTGCCGCCATCCATGTAACCAGCGCACACCATCCTGCGTGTGATCATGTCTGGATAGGCGCTCTCACAGTCCTTGTCGTCTACTATGGGCACGTCCAAGCACTGCAGGCGGGTTGGCATGTTCACTATCACAGGTGAAAACACACAAAGTTTAAAGACACACCTGGCAGTTTTGGCTTGCTTTTAGCACCCCCTAGTGTCCGTTTAGTAGAACCAAATATGAAATTCATCTCGCCGTGCGTTTGTCTTTTTAACACCTTAATCCAACAGTTGAAATGTCTCCTCAGCCTTCATTAGTGAACAGATCATCACTAAATCAAACAAATCAGCTGTGTTCGCAATCTAAAACATGCAGGAAACGTGCTGAAAAAAGACGGCAGCGCCAGGCATACCAGCTCCGTTTTGTCTCCAGTCCAACAGGTGGCGGACAGCAACTCTGAAGTTGCAAGTGCAATATTCTGGCCACAGAGAGTGGTGAGGTCTGACTGACATTTCATTAACCCTTTAAAGGGTCATTTTTGCACGTACTGTCTCAAGATGATTTATTAAAAATATGAAAAACTTGCATATTATCCCTTTAAAGTAAAAAGCTTCTTTCTTTTAGTGCTCATTCCCTCTAATTTAAGTCACCTCCTTCACCATCCATGGCTGTGTTCCCCCATCCAGACACTGAGCAGGGCAGCCCCCCCACCGGGCAGCCTGTGGGCAGAGGGATGGGTGCGACTGCCTCAGTCACCTCCACAGGATGGAAGAGCTTGATCAGCATGATGTCGTAATCGAGAGTCTGATAGTCGTAGCTGCACATGAAGATGTTTACAATAAACTTTAAAGACATTTCTGCACTGATAATTTAATGATGATGAGTACATGATTAAACGCTGCTTTATATTCATTCTGCTTCAATTCAAGAGTTGATTGCTCTAAAATATTATGTGCTGCAACACATTTGCCATATTGGTGCTGCAGCTATAGCCACAAGGTGGTCATTATGAGTGAGAAGCTACAAAAAAAGCCTCATCAAGGTGTTCAGGAACCGTCTCTTCTCTGCAGGTTACTAACTCACCTTCGCGTGGGTTTTCAGCTCTGTGAGTTAGAGCAGCTTTGGCATGCACAGAAAAGGGTGGGGGGAGCTCCAGGAAGCATGAAATGTGTTCTTTAAAATGTGCAAATGGAAGAGACATAGAAGATAAACTTTTTTTTAACCACCTGGGGTGCCAGACGATGGTGTCAGTCTTCATGAGCTGCTCTGTACCCTCAAACACACGAACATCATGTTCTCCCAGGATGATCTGCATGGCATAAGGGCTGAGAAAAGGGGTAGATTGGGAAGCAGGAAGATACTTGAACAGTAGTTTTTCCACAATATTACCAACATGTTTAGTTTTTTTTCTCATCAGAAGGAAAACAAGGAAATTGTTGCAAAAAAGCTTTTATTTTTCATTTTTGCAGGCTTACTTGTACCAACAGTGGGCGACAGAGAGCACCCACTGCTCGTTGATTAGCACTCCTCCGCAGAAATGGTAGCCGTAGTTGAGAGAGGCCATGTAAGGACGAGAGTGAGGCTCACACTCCTCCCCGCCGATGATCCTGCCATCATGACGGGGAACTGCCACTGTTCAACAACACAAAAGTAAAAGCATTGTTTTTAAGTCTGAACATTAAGGTATAAATAAACGTGTGTGTGTAATAGAAGTGTGTGTACCAGCAGCTCCAACAAGCAGCAGAAGAGTGAGGAGTCTCATGATGGTTAGAGATCAGAGGTCGCCAGGACTCGCCAGTATTTATACCGCACCAAGGTCTCAATGCCCTCCCACCTTTTTTGAATTTCCACTAATTGTTGACCCCATCTGTGTTTTCACACCGTCTTCTCCCAGAGCTAAAAGCAAATCACCAAATCTGCTTTCTTATCACGCTCCTTTTTTTGTTTTTATTTGCCCACCTTGGTCCTGTCACAGCACACCTTCGACATCATCTGTTCAGCTTCTCAAAGTCACCTGGTTGTCTCGTGGGTCACTCCTGGTAGGCAAACTAGAGCAAGAAGACACCTTTTAAGGAAAAGCAATTATATTCAAATGTATAAATAAAAATGTTTAAAAAAAGATGCAAACAAGCTGTTGTGTAACAGTCTTGGTCACCTTTGATGAAAAGCCAAAAGAGGTGAGAACGTGGCCATCTGTGGTCTCAGGGACCCGACGGAACATGCTGGTTTTCTGCTTTTAATTAGTCGCACCCTGAAGAAATCTTCTTGAGTATTTTAAATCAGATTATGCAGTTCAGTCTGTTATACAATCAGAGAATTAGTCAGGTTTATTGCACTTTTACAGGAGCTGCGTATTCGTCTAATAAGAGCAGGATGGGGACTGGGGTGGGAGGAGTGGACAGAAATCAGGTTAAGGTGATGAGGAGATGGAGGAGGAGGAGGAGGAAGGATGAAGGGGAGGTCACAGAGAAGCTGAGGTATAAATGCAGAAATAAGTTCAGCGTCATCCAGTCTGGTCGTAGGCAGGACTGAGTCAGCCAGATAATGATCGCCATCGTTTTTGTGCTCCTGGGAGCTGCAGGTAAAAACTGCTTGCAGCATTTCAAATTATTTAAATAACTATGCAACAGTTGGGTTTACACATGTCTGATGCCACAGCTGCAGCACCTGTGGACGACAGAATTGTGGGAGGCTACCAGTGCAAAGCCCACTCTCAACCCTGGCAGGTGTCCCTGAACATCGGCTACCACTTCTGTGGCGGCTCCCTCATTAATGACCAGTGGATCATCTCTGCTGCCCATTGCTGGCAAAAGTTGGTTCTCTATTTCCATGACCCGAAATGTAAACAAACAATGCGGTTACGATAATAATGTGCTCTGTGTGTCGTTTTTTTTAGCCCTTTTTCACAGATTGCCATCTTGGGTGACAACCACATCTGGATGCACGAAGGCACTGAGCAGTACATGTCAGTGGATGCCATCTACTGGCACGCCAGTTACGACTACACCACCCTGGACTATGACATCATGCTGATGAAGCTGGCTCATCCTGTCACTCTGAACAATCATGTCAAACCCATCCCTCTTCCCAAAGCCTGTCCTACACCAGGGGACATGTGCACGGTATCTGGATGGGGGAACATTTATTCTGATGATGGTGAGATGAGTTTGATCTTGGAAAAAGACCATTTTATGATCGTGATAGATCTCTTATTGGAAGTCACAGAAAGTGTTATGAGCAAACTAAGTTTAGATGTGCACCTACAGCCCAGCTCAAGAGTCGCCAAACACAAATGAGAAAACTCCCAAAGAGTTGCATCTCAGTCAGGTTTACAGATGCCGAGCAAAAAGTTAGTGCAGCAACAGCTGACGTTTATCTTGTGCATGTTAACTGTTGGAGTTAGTTCGTGCTGCTGCGTCTAAAAAAGCATCTAAATGTAGATTTTTAAAAACAAAGTTAAACACTTTTATTAGTTTTACCTTAGTAATAGATGATTACCACTGACATCTGTAGGACAAAACCATTTGACCATTTATGAAAATGTATAAGTCTTGATTAACCAGAACATTTTTATAAGAAATAAATAAATAAAAAACAATAAATGCCCCCCAAAAAGGAAAATTTAAAACATAAAAAAACCATAAGAAACTTAAAAGATAAAAACATTGAAAGAAATAATTTTATTGAGTATCTTTAAAAGGTTAAATAAATTATTACTATATTTATATTATTACCATAGTAAACATTAAAGCATTTATTCTCATTTATTCCCCTCATGCGAATATTTAAAGACCAAGTTCACTTACTTTTATCAACACATTTGCAGTGATCTCTAGTATAAGTAGATCTCTTGCTAAAGAATCTCCGGCACTCCTGAACTAGAAGTTAGCCAGAACAGGGGGGAGCAGAACACGGCAAGTTTTGGAGTCTTATTTCCTGATATTTGGACATCTCGTCTCTGATTGGCTAACAGCAACACGGCTCTACCACTGACTATTTGCTCTGCAACGCTGATGTTTTACCTGCACAAATAACACAAGCCTGGAGGAGTTCTGCCATGTTGCGGAGTTGCTAATGCTAGCCTTCCCGCTGCGAGCCAAGATGAGTGTCACATAGAAAACAATAACAGGTAAAACCAGTTTCTCAGTGAACTGGAAATTTAAAAAAGAGAAATTTTAATAGCACTTTTCTTCATGTAGAAGTAAAAAATTTGATTTGTAACTTTCTGTATCTCAGTCAGTTTTGTATGTAACAAGCTGAGATTTCATGGTGCAGAAACTGAGAGCCCTTCGTGTCATTTACCCTGGGTGCTAACAGATCACGTAAAGTCTTACGGTACAGAAAGGAAATCTCAAACTATTGCCTTTAAGGTTTGACCGAAAAAAGCAACTTTAAATCCAACTTTCCTCAAGATGATCTCAATTTAAAATTCAGGTGTGAAATGGGATCCTACTAGGTGACGTTATTGATCAGTTCTGGATGTTTTATGATCATGTTTTCACAACTAGAAACGTAAACGGACCTTTTACTGTTTAAAGATATTTTAGTGTGATCTAAATCTGCAGTAAGATTCTTGTTTTTGCCTATTTGTTTTAGTCAGTTTGTTGGTGAATTGGTAAAACTTCAACCTTTGGTGTTTATTTATTACAACAAATAGAATTTTTAACACCATTTCAGAAAAACAGAGATGCTTTGAGGTCTTCAGATTAAAAAAAACTGTTATTATCCCGTATTTCAACCTTTGTTTTTCTTTCATGCTTTTAACTACAGTGTTCAACCCATTTTACCTTCAGTGTGTGGAGGTTCCCATCTTGTCCCATAAGGACTGTGATGCTTCCTACCCTGGAATGATTACAGAGCGCATGGTGTGTGCTGGATACCCGGAGGGAGGCAAGGATGCCTGTCAGGTATTTTAAACTGATCACACAGCACAAGAAAAAGCAACGCACTGTATAAATCCTTAAAAACGTAACTGGATGAGAAAATTAGCTATTTGAGTAACCCTCGCACCTTCTTTGTCTTAATCAGGGCGACTCCGGCGGCCCTCTGGTGTGTAACGGGGAGCTGCAGGGAATCGTGTCTTGGGGTCAGGGCTGTGCTCAGCCTAACTACCCAGGGGTCTACACCAAAGTCTGTTCTCTGCTGCCCTGGATCAATGAGACTCTTTCTAGATACAGCTAGGCTCTGATCAGCCATCGCAGAAGCTACACGAGGGACGGGGAAACAAAGCAGAGAGTGAAACCGAAGGAGACAGAGACAGCAGGTGGTTGTGGGTAACGTCAGAAATAAAAATGAGCAGGCAAGCAGCAAAGAAAGATGATGGTGTAGGAAAAGGAAAAGAAAAGATGTGTGAGGGAATGATCAATAAAACGTTTTTCATGCATTGTTGTGTTTGTTGGTATTTATACGTGAAAGCAGCAACGTCTTTATCAAACAAATACGACTGATGACTTGTTTTCACACCTTTAACAGCGTAGAATAATATTAGCAAGAACCAAAATATCTAAAACTCAAACAGTTTTACAAATAAGTACAAAATTACTAGTATAAATTATCGTGAGAACAAAGAGGAGACAGCCCAAAAGTACATGGGGACAACTAGTCAATGACCTGAAGAGAGGTGGTGCCGCGGTAACAAAGGTTACCATTAGTAACACTACGTCGTCATGGATTAAAACCCTGCAGAGCTTGAACGGTACCCCTGTTAGGGCCAGCACATGTCCATGCCCGTCTAAAGTTCGCCAGAGAGCGGCTAGGTGATCCAGAGGAGGATTGGGGGAAAACGTCATGAGGTCAGATGAGACTAAAATAGAATATTTTGGTATTAACACCAATCACTTGTTTGGAGGGGGAAGATTGTTGAGTTGCACCCCAAGAACACCATACCCATAGTGTAGCATGGGGGTGGAAACATTATACTTTGGGGCTTCTGATCCACATAAAGAAAGAATGAATGGGCCATGCTTCCATCAGTGAGAGCATCAAAGATGAAACATGGCTAGATTTTCCAGCAAGACAACGATCCTAGACACGATGCACGGGAACAACGGGAGTCTACGTAAACGGCGTTCCAAGGTCCTGGAGTGGCCTAGCCAGTCTTCACTACACTGTATACGCTACACACCTCAGTGCATTTATTTGCACTATTAAATATTTTTACTTTAACCCGAGTGCTCCAGCCTTCTTCTTCCACTGCACTGAACGATACATTGGTATCAGAAATTAGAATTAGACTACATCGGTATATATCGGTCTTCAATCAGCCAAAAAGAGCACACGTCACCCCTCTGTTCATTGAGCTCCACTGGCTACCACTAGCAGCACGCATCAAATTCAAATTGCTAACACTAGCATACAAAGTCCGAGGCGGTACGGCTCCCATCTACCTGAATCCTCTTGCAAAGCCTTACGTCTTGGCCCGACAGGATCGTCGGCTAGCAGTGCCTACACCACCCTCAGGACAATCCAGACTCTTCTCATGCATCGTTCCACAAATGTGGAATGACCTTCCAAGCACTACCAGAACAGCGGCTTCCCTTTCAATTTTCAAGAAACTCCTGAAGACCCTGCTCTTCAGAGAGCATCTTCTAAACTAGCACCCTCCCTGCACCCCCCTCTACTGTCCACTCCTTGTTCCCTCCTCTCCATGACTGATGTCAAGTTGTTGTTGTTGTTAGCCTCAAGGGCTACATGCCAATTATCACTTGTAAGTCGCTTTGGACAAAAGCGTCTGCTAAATACATAAACATCAGAAATTAGAATTAGACTACATCGGTCTATATTGACCATCGGTGCAAAATCCGATACTGAACATCAGAAAACTTACAATAAAACATACATTTTCTGCGAGAGATTAAGATACAGATCCAACAGAATGATCCAGTAAAATGTGACACAAATATTCCTCTTTAGAATATTTTATTTGCTTTATTCAGTTTGAATAAAAAAAACAAAGGATCTTTGATTGGATCACTTAGTTGCTGGCCATGGTGCTCTCCAGCCAGTCGCTGAACATGCAGACCTGAAAGAGAACAAGAACAGTGTTACAACGCTAAATCAGCTCAGCTGGAGTCAAAGTTTGTCCTGATTGGAGGTTACCTTGGCGTAGACACCAGGGCGGTCCTTCTGAGCACATCCGTAGCCCCAGGACACAACACCTTGCAGCTCTTTGTTGCACACAACAGGGCCACCAGAGTCACCCTGACAGCAAAAGGAAACAATCATTAGAAGGACGGAGATTATGTTCAGCAAGGGGCCGAAACGAGTTGTTAAATAATCCAGAAGACATTCTTGTTGCAGATTTGACCTGCTCCGTACCTGGCAGGAGTCCTTGCCTCCCTCCAGGTATCCAGCACAGAACATGGACTCATCGATCATTCCAGGGTAGGAGTTGTTACAGTCCCTGTCAGAAATGATGGGGACTTCCAGGCACTGCAGCTTGTTCTTGTCAGCAGCTGAGACGCACCAAAGAGAGCACAAGTTCATGGAATCAGGTTCAAAATAAAACAAACTCAACCAGAATCGGACCAGATTCAGATCTAACTCACTGGAGCTCATGGTGTTGCCCCAGCCGGAGACAAGGCACCTGGTACCAGCAGGAGCACAGCCTCTGGGCAGATCCACGGGCTTCACGTAGCTGTTGAGGGTGGCGGGCTTGCTCAGCTTGATCAGCATGATGTCATTGCTGATGGTGTAGGAGTCGTAGCGGGGATGACGGATGACGCGGGACGAGCTGATGAACTGCTCGCTTCCCTCAGAGATCTTGATGTTGTGCTCTCCCAGACGCACCTCCAAACGGCTGGAAACACACACACACACAATAATCATCAAATCCTCGTTTAAATCAGAGCTGCAGACTTTAACTGAAACACGACGAACGTACGACTGGTAGCAGTGAGCTGCAGACACAACCCATTCCTCGTTGACCAGAGAGCCACCGCAGAAGTGGTAGCCAACGTTCAGAGACACCTGATGGGGCTGGGAGTAGGGCGTGCACTCATACCCTCCAACAATCTTGTCATCGTCAAGAGCAACTGGAAAAAAGTGATTAGTGAATGTTTCTCAACTCAGTCAGGAACGTCAATGAATGCATGAATAATAGCGTGCTTACAGGCAGCTCCGATGAGCAGAACAAACACCAGAGACCTCATGGTTGCTGAGTGATCCTGTTGATGAGAGGGCTTCACCTGCAGCTCTGGATTATATAGGAAGGCCCCTGGCAGTGCTCCTGCTGAGGTCACCTCCCTCTGTTATCTCGGACCAATCAGAGTCCAGAACAGAAACAGTTTTGGACTTAATTTAGTCCTTCAGAAATTCTGACGTGTCGCTAAACTAAATTATTTACACTCATAATGTGTTTTTTTTAAACCAAAGGCTTGATTAGGTAAGTGTACTCTAACTACGTTGTGACTGGAACAACTTTCCTACTTAAGTCAACCTGTTGCTAATAACAGTGACAAACATTTCATGTGACATTTCTATAACAGTATGTTGCATAAGTCACAAGCTGCAAACCGTTTACATAACGGCCGCGCAGCAGGTGGCCCGTTTCACAACACGGAGCGTCCGGGACCAACTCACATGTTATTACAGATCCCTGAACAACAAAAATACTTATAACTACCTTTTCCAGCAGTCTTTCGCTGCTGCATTTCTTGTCTTTGAGCAAAAGGCCGGCAGTTTCACACAAATGAGTCAAATCTGAAACCTTTCACGCTTGTTTTCTGACTTGTTTTGTAGCGTTAGGAGAAGTCTCTGTAGACATAATTCTCACGTCCAAATCGGTGTCATTATGCCTTTGTTCCTGTGGCATCGCTTTAAAAACAAACTGTGATTTGTCTAAATTTCTCTCATGAGCATCGAACGTGAGAAAAACATCCTTTTGATTCTAGTGAGGCTTGAAAATTGCAAATTTGAACATTTTCTAAGAAATCCTTTGAATATGTTTGCTACGAATATCATTTCCATTAGCTGCTGCAATCTCCGTCCATCCATCAAGCCATTTTTGTCTGCTGATCCGGGGTCGGGTCACAGGGGTAGCAGCCCAAGCAGGGATGCCCAGACTTCCCTCTCCCCAGCCATCCAGCTCCTCCGAGGAAATCCCAAGGCGTTCCCTGACCTGCTGAGAAACAAAGTCCCTCCAGTGTGTCTTGGGTCTTCTTTTAGGTCTCCTCCCAGTTGGACATGCCCAGAAAACTTCACCAGGGAGGCGTACATCCTAACCAGATGTCTGAGCTACCTCAACTGGCTCCTCTCGATGTGGAGGAGCAGCGGATCTACTCCGAGCCCCTCCTGGAATGTATCTCTAAGGGAGAGCCTAGACACTTTGCAGAGGAAACTCATTTTGGCCGCTTGTATCCATGATCTTGTTCTTTCAGTCACCACCCAAAGCTCGTGACCATAGTTGAGGGTAGGAACGTAGATCGACTGATAAATTGAGAGCTTCACCTTCTGGCTCAGTTCTATCTTCGCCATGACAGATCGGTACAACGCCCGCATCACTCCAGACGCAACACTAGCTATCTGGCGCTCCATCTTTCCCTCACTCGTAAACAAGACCCCAAGATACTTAAACTCCTCCTTGAGACTGGACCTCAGCCCTGACCATTCTACCCTTTTCTGACTCTTGGATTCAGGGGAGCCGCTCTCATCCCAGCTGCTTCACACTCGGCTGCGGCGGAACCGAGTCCCACTTAACCGAATATGTTTGCTACCAACATCATTTCCATCAGCTGACGCGATGTTAGAACGTGTATTAATTTTTTGTTTCCTTACCAGTGGGGGATCATAAGGAATTCAAAGATACTTTAATAGGTTGGATTTTTAAATGATGAAATTTGACTGATTTACCCAGCCTGAAGCCAAGACACTGCTCTCTACAGAAGAGATGCTCTAAGGCATCATGGCTGAATCACTCTTTTGGTTCGCATCTGAACTCATCAGTCAACGTGACCTTTTCCCATCGCTTCACCGTCCCATCTTCATGCTACTTGACGAACACAATCCTCTTCTTCCGGCTCTTGGACAGTACAGACGCTTTTTTCCTCCTCTCCTCCCTATCTCATCCAAGGCTCTTTGTCTGTCTTTGGGTGGACGGTGCTTCTGCATTTTTTCTGGAAACTGGAAATTATTAAAGAAGGATCTGGTTAGTTGGTCTTTCAATGCGATAGACAAAATTTTTTCAACGATGAGAACGGGAGAAGGGGCTCCCGGGTGCCCCTCTGGGACAGAGCCAGCTGGGCATATCATGGACTCCTGGAAACAGTGGGACCTGATCTGCCTATCTCAACTGTCTGTAGAGGATTCTGAAGACATCTGGATAGTCGTGGCGTTGGTGTCAGGTGTCTTGCTTTTGGCCTGAGTGGTTACCTGGCTTGCCGGAAAATTAATGAGCTGTCGAGGAATATTGGCTCAATCCCGGAGCTCAGGGATGGATTACACCGCGCTGGGAATGCACAGACTCATTTAATTGTCGAGATGAGTCGTAAGCTTGGAACTTTGGCTGAGATTCAGACTCTGGCACAGAAGGTGGATTCAATCAAGGAGAAAGTTGACGGGTCAGCACGGACTGGGAGAGATTAATTTATGCCAGTATTTGATTTAAAGTGGTTGAGAACCAACAGAACTTTAAGACAGAGAGGAAATTATCTCTGTCTGGCCCCAAAACAAGTTCTTATCTGAATCTGGTGCCCTTGAGTCTGTGAGGCTGAAATGAATACTTCCCCCTCAGAAGAAATGTGGAATGCTGCCGTCGCCATGGCAACTCTGTCTCCCTATTCCAGCTTGGGTGGGACTGCGACCGGTGAAGGCTGTTGAATCGTTTCCAGGAGTCACTGTGCTCTCTTACCCATCTACCTCCCTCCCCTGTCCAAATGGAGGTGACGAGTGAAGCTTATCGTGGCTGCATGCACTGATGTGTGGAGAGTCCCCAACCCTACCTCCCACCTAGTGGACACTTATGTTGTGTGATGTCTGAAGTCTGTTGCATTTCTGTCTGAGGAGTTTTTTGCAGAGCAAAGCTGCCCTCCCTGTGGAGGGTAACTCTGAAGTGCCTTTTTTCCCTCCACCTGAACCAATCCTCATGTAAACCCCTCTGATCTCTATTAAGGTAGCGCGACTCGGGTTGCGAATGACCACAGTCACCAATTCTTGTCATGTGTCTTGCCTATGTATGTCTGATCTCTGAATTGTGTGTACTGAAAATCTAATTTCCCTCTGGGATTAATAAAGTATCTTTGAATTGAATTTTATAAAGATCAGCCTCTCTGATGAGGGATCTTCTAATAACCAGGCAGCAGCTTCACTCTTAATTCTTTAAGTTTTGTTTGTATTTTTTGTACTGTTTATTTTAAGTAGAATGCCTTCTCCGGGTCAGGGATGAGGTCCTGCCCCAAGTGGAGGAGTTTCAGTATCTCGGGGTCTTGTTCACGAGTGAGGGAAAGCTGGAGCGTGAGATCGATAGGTGGATTGGTGCTGCGTCTGCAGTGATGCGGGCGTTGTACCGGTCTGTCGTGGTGAAGAGAGAGCTGAGTCAGAAGGCGAAGCTCTCGATTTACCAGTTGATCTACGTTCCTACCCTCACCTATGGTCACGAGCTTTGGGTAGTGACCAAAAGAACGAGATCACACATACAAGCGGCCAAAATGAGTTTTCTCTGCAGGGTGGCTGGGCTCTCCCTTAGAGATAGGGTGAGAAGCTCGGTCATTTGGGAGGGGCTCGGAGTAGACCCGCTGCTCCTCCACATCGAGAGGAGCCAGTTGAGGTGGCTCGGGCATCTGGTCAGGATGCCTCCTGGACGCCTCCCTGGTGAGGTTTTCCAGGCACATCCAACCAGGAGAAGACCTAAAGGTAGACCCAGGACACGGTGGAGGGACTATGTCTCTCACCTGGCCAGGGAACGCCTTGGGATTCCCCTGGAGGAGCTGGCCCAAGTGGCTGGGGAGAGGGAAGTCTGGGCCTCTCGCCTGCTGCCCCCGCGACCCGACTCCGGATAAGCGGATGAAAATGGATGGATGGATGGATGGATGGATGGATGGATGGATGGATGGATGGATGGATGGATGGATGATGCATGGATGGATGGATGCATGGATGGATGGATGGATGGATGGATGGATGGATGGATGGATGGATGCATGGATGGATGGATGGATGGATGGATGGGTGGATGGATGGATGGATGGATGGATGGATGGATGGATGGATGGATGGATGGATGGATGGATGGATGGATGGATGGATGGATGGATGCATGGATGGATGGATGGATGGATGGGTGGATGGATGGATGGATGCATGGATGGATGGATGGATGGATGGATGGATGGATGGATGGATGGATGGATGGATGGATGGATGCATGGATGGATGGATGGATGGATGGGTGGATGGATGGATGGATGGATGGATGGATGGATGGATGGATGGATGGATGGATGATGGATGGATGGATGGATGGATGGATGGATGGATGGATGGATGAAGTAGTAATGCAATGATTTATAGTCATGTCACAACCACAAAGCCATATAAAGAGAACAAAAACCCTAACTATGTCATTCAGTTCATTCACCCACAAACCTTTTTTTTAAATCTGCTTCCAGCGATCTGATTGGTGGAATAGCTTAAAGTCTGGAGGAAACACCCTCACCAAGAATTCTAACAATATTCAACCTGATGTGACTGAAACAGATGGTGTGTCATGCCTTTGGACATGGCTAAAGTCATTATCAGCCGGGTCAGCGGCATAAAAAAATCTGTTATTAGAGCGGGTGAAGCTCACCTTTTCTTCCTCATTTCTTTAATCTTAGCATTTTAAAACAAAAAAAATTTCCAATATTTTATTATGATATAAATTTTGAAATCATCTTTTGTTCTTGTGAAGCTCCTCGTGATTTTTATCTTGAGAGGCGCTACATAAAAATAATTTCTTCTTTTTCTACTTACAACAAAAATGACATGAAAGTAAAATAAAGTGCATCCAGAACATTTTTATTAGTTTTTCTAATAAAACAGATGCCTTCTTGTTCTAATTATTACACGACACATGACAACCACATTCACCATTGTGTGCATTATAAACAGGGCGGCAGTAGCACAAGGGGTGGAGCGTTTTGTCCAGTAATCAGAAGGTTGCAGGTTTGATCCCGGTTCCAAACAGAGGATTCTGCTGTTGGGTTCTTGGGCAATACGCCTAACCCACCTTACCTGGTGGAGGTGGTCGGAGGGACCAGTGGCGCCCATGCTCAGCAGCCTCGCCTTTGTCAGTGTGCCCCAGGGCAGCTGCGGCTACAATGTAGCTCATCACCACCAGTGTGTGAATGGATGAATGATGCACTGTGGTGTAAAGCGCTTTGGAGTCCTCTGACTCTGAAACACAAGTGCAGGTCAGTTTACATTTAAGAGGACTTTTCATTAAAACCTAGCTTTTACATTATAAAAACATTTTTTTATGAAGCTGGGTGCACAGTTGGTTGTACTGTTGCCTCAGAGCAAGGAGGTTGCAGGTTTGAATCTCGTCTGCAGCCTTTCTGCGTGTTCTCCCCGTGCATACATGGGCTTTGTCCAGACACTCTGGTGTCATCCCACGGACTAAAAGCATGCATAACAGGAAAACTGGAGACTGAATTGTCCTTGTGTGTGTGTGTGTGTGTGTGTGTGTGTGTGTGTGTGTGTGTGTGTGTGTGTGTGTGTGTGTGTGTGTGTGTATGATAATGAGTGTTTATTATGTCAAATTACATCTGTAACAATAAAAAAATCTAAAAAACAATACCTCATTTGTGATTTTTTTTCCTTTTCAATGAATCATTTGAAAATGTTGCTTGTGTTAAATCACCTGAACACGTCTGACTTGTAAAGCTAAACATGTTTAAAACGCTTACCTGAATAAATGATCAGTGAAACAGTGTGAACGGTTGGCACCGTGTTGTGAAACAGGCCATCTGCTGGGCTGTGGTTATATCAGAGACGGTGAACATGATATGCATATTCTGACAAAAGCAGGTGTCATTCAGTATCAAATCAGCAAAATGTATTTATTTTTCCAACACCCAGACTGTTTCTGTTCTGGACTCTGATTGGTCCGAGATAACAGAGGGAGGTGACCTCAGCAGGAGCACTGCCAGGGGCCTTCCTATATAATCCAGAGCTGCAGGTGAAGCCCTCTCATCAACAGGATCACTCAGCAACCATGAGGTCTCTGGTGTTTGTTCTGCTCATCGGAGCTGCCTGTAAGCACGCTATTATTCATGCATTCATTGACGTTCCTGACTGAGTTGAGAAACATTCACTAATCACTTTTTTCCAGTTGCTCTTGACGATGACAAGATTGTTGGAGGGTATGAGTGCACGCCCTACTCCCAGCCCCATCAGGTGTCTCTGAACGTTGGCTACCACTTCTGCGGTGGCTCTCTGGTCAACGAGGAATGGGTTGTGTCTGCAGCTCACTGCTACCAGTCGTACGTTCGTCGTGTTTCAGTTAAAGTCTGCAGCTCTGATTTAAACGAGGATTTGATGATTATTGTGTATGTGTGTGTGTGTGTGTTTCCAGCCGTTTGGAGGTGCGTCTGGGAGAGCACAACATCAAGATCTCTGAGGGAAGCGAGCAGTTCATCAGCTCGTCCCGCGTCATCCGTCATCCCCGCTACGACTCCTACACCATCAGCAATGACATCATGCTGATCAAGCTGAGCAAGCCCGCCACCCTCAACAGCTACGTGAAGCCCGTGGATCTGCCCAGAGGCTGTGCTCCTGCTGGTACCAGGTGCCTTGTCTCCGGCTGGGGCAACACCATGAGCTCCAGTGAGTTAGATCTGAATCTGGTCCGATTCTGGTTGAGTTTGTTTTATTTTGAACCTGATTCCATGAACTTGTGCTCTCTTTGGTGCGTCTCAGCTGCTGACAAGAACAAGCTGCAGTGCCTGGAAGTCCCCATCATTTCTGACAGGGACTGTAACAACTCCTACCCTGGAATGATCGATGAGTCCATGTTCTGTGCTGGATACCTGGAGGGAGGCAAGGACTCCTGCCAGGTACGGAGCAGGTCAAATCTGCAACAAGAATGTCTTCTGGATTATTTAACAACTCGTTTCGGCCCCTTGCTGAACATAATCTCCATCCTTCTAATGACTGTTTCCTTTTGCTGTCAGGGTGACTCTGGTGGCCCTGTTGTGTGCAACAAAGAGCTGCAAGGTGTTGTGTCCTGGGGCTACGGATGTGCTCAGAAGGACCGCCCTGGTGTCTACGCCAAGGTAACCTCCAATCAGGACAAACTTTGACTCCAGCTGAGCTGATTTAGCGTTGTAACACTGTTCTTGTTCTCTTTCAGGTCTGCATGTTCAGCGACTGGCTGGAGAGCACCATGGCCAGCAACTAAACACAACATCCTGCCGCTGGCTTACACTGCTGCCTTTCTTCGGCCATTTTAACTATACACCTGTTGTTAATTTGTTCATGAAAATGTGCAGCCAGTTTCATACATATCAATAAAATCCTAAATCCTAACGTTTGTTTGTGTTTTCTTTTGACATGTCTACTTTTTGTTTTCTAACTTATTCCTTCGCTTTAATTCTCTGTGAAGTCACATTTTTATTATGTTATAACGGCTGCTGCTGCTGCTGCATGCAATCCTTTAGAAGCAACTTGTTACCTGTATACAACGGTGTCATGTTGAAGTGTGACATCATCTAGAATCCTTTTGAAATTACAGCTCATTGTTGCTATTTTGAGACGCCAAACATCGTTCTCACTTTTTAAAGGCTGCATGCTTGACAGCATTGTGACTTCACATCTTTTGCTTGAAATAAAATTTATTAATACTTTTAGTAATTGCTGGTTTTGCACAAATGGGTAATAAATATGGAAGTTTTCACATTTCTTTCCATTTTTTTAATTTATGAAGTTCAGCATATTGCCAGAAGCATGAATACTATTTATCAGCTGGCAAAAAAATTATTTTTAAGGTCCACAGTTTGCATGATTTTTATGAATTAATTCAACAGAATTTCTGCTGTTTGTCTACTTCAAGTTTGTTGATCGACATAAACATTTGGAAAATGATCTGTAATATTTTAGAAAGAAAGAGAAATAAGCATTAAAAAGTGTTTTGAAATATAGATGGGCCATTTCTTTGTTTGTTTGGTTTTTGAGAATGGCTTCACCTGACAACATCTGGGCAAGGTCATCATTAACCAGTGAACAGTTCATGCTGTAGTCAATGGAATACATTTGGAAATAAAAAAAAATCTGTTTATTTTTAAGATTAAAATAATAAAATAATCTTATTTACAAAACTTATGAAGGATGTAGAATTTTACTTTAATTCCCTTTTGGGGTTTGTAGCCAGTCAGCAGCACAGGTGAGTGCCAAATTATGGAAGGTAAGCAGGCAATGAGAGTTAAATCCAGAATTTCTTTATAGCAGTCATGGTATTTCCATTCAAATTTACACACACACCCACACACACACACACACACACACACACACACACACACACACACACACACACACACACACACACACACACACACACACACACAAACACTGATCCCTATTTTTTTCTTTTTGCAGATAAAATGTAAAAAAAATATATAAATTAAATGAGAAAATATTATACAATAGTGAACAAATATTACAATGCAATCTTAATTATTATTATTTTTTGTATTTTTCATAAATACATATTACAGTTGAGCTGTCAAAGGAGGAGTTATATATGCAACAGAAAAAAAAGAATTATTTAGTTTTCTAATTAAAATGAACAGCCAACAATCCAGTCAGACTGTGTCAATAAATGGCAGCAATATTACAGATAGAACAATAAATTAATCTGTTTTTCTTTTACCTTTCAAATAAAAAACAACAACAAACTTAACAGTGGAAGTCTAAAACTAATTTCACTTTGAAGTATAAACTGTCGTTTTAAACGAAAAATCCATTTGAAATGCTCACAATAATTTCTCAGCGGTGAGCGGAACTATAGTTCCTAGTTCAATGATCAAGTCGGACATGTTTGATGATGCACACCCAATGTCAAATGTAGCTAAAACTGTCCTCGGAATTTGTTTTCATATCTAGAAAGTCTGTTTAGTTCATATTTTCAAATTTATCTGTAATAGATCGTCCGGTTAGGTCTTTCTGACCTTTGTTTTTATATCGCGGGTGTTTTTAGGGTTTCGAGATGCGCCTCACGCTGCAGCTGTTGATCTCCCACGGCCGGGTGGCCCGCAGGATGGGTCTGGGCCCGGAGTCCCGGATCCACATGCTGCGGAACATCTTGACTGGACTCGTCCGACATGAGAGGATAGAAACAACATACGCCCGAGCGGATGAAGTCCGCTTCTATGCTGAGAAGGTAAAAATCCTCCATCTCGAATCAGGAAAATCAAAGGAATGAAAGTTGCATGATCCCTAAAGCTCTCAGTCCATCAGAGCTTATTAAATCACAAACTAGGATCAAAAATAGAAAATAAACACGAATCAAGCAGGATTACATACCCTGTGGATTTAAACACACTCAACATTAAGGTTTTTACCTTTTATTTTAATTAAGTGAATCAAGCAAGTGACGCCTGCATTAGGTTTTAATTTATATTAAAGGTTGGATATGGAACAATTTAATTAAAAACGATACAGTTTTTAATAATACCTCCACGGGGTGTTAAGAGGTGTGCAGAATTAAGCTTTCAAACTTATATTTGAATTAAAAATAATGAAATATTTATTTTGACGTGACACAGGGTTAATGTTTACATCCACCAGCCAGTAGAGGGCATCATTGCAGGTTGCCACACAGTCCAGCTTGGCACAGTGAGGCTTGCCCTGTGGAAGATGGTGGACTCGGCAAGTCAGGCAGCTGCTCCTGACCCCAGATGTCGTTATCCTTCTCAGAAGAGTTTAGTTGAAGTTTACAACAGATGGACCCAAATAAAACAGTTCACGTATCTGCAGCGAACCTGGTGGTATCCCGACGGCTGGGAACCTTGTTCTACTGTTGCAGCTACAACCTCCACACACTAGATGTCGCTGTAGTGTTCGTGTTCCATATTCCACCTTTGAAGATTTATTTCTGCAAGATAATTTGAGTGCTTTCACGTTTGTCATGAGAGAACTGTAAGCAAACACAATTTAAGCCACAGCATGTCTCCTCTTCATCATCATCATCATCAATGGTGATGCCCATGCATTCTGCTGATGTCGCAACATTAAATACGTTTTCTGCTCCTCTGCCCTACTGGTTGAAAGTGGAATTACAAGTGTTATAAACAACCCTGCAGCAGTCGTTTGTAGCTAATGATAAAACAGTTAGCTAACCTGAACCAATTAATACTAAAAAAAAGCCACAAAGTAAAAAGATCCACACTGTTGGGCAAAATAATTATTATTACTTACAAATTCATTCGCAACAAAGCCAGGTCACCATCATTCTGTGATTTCATAGCCTCCTTTAGCTTCCTCAAACCAGTATAGGCCACACGGATGTTCACTCTGGTTTTAGCTCAAAGACATTACTCTTACTTTCAGGCTCTGCCATGACGCCAACAAAAATAATCATTTTGTTCTTTTATTGATTGTCGGCAAACTAGAAATGTTTACTGGCTGCCTTTATATTAGCTACTGGGACAGTAAACAGCTTCTGCTGTAAAGCAGGTGGAGACCTCCCACTAGTGTTCCTACCTGAACCACAACACTGTTAAGTGCAGTTACCCCCAAATTCCACTACCTCCACTCCGCTGCGCTCCGCTCCGACATGAACGCCGGAGCAAAATCGGTCCCGTTCTAGTCAATCAGAGCAATTCCACTACTGCGGTCGTGCTCCGGCAGTGTGGCGCCGTGCGCCGCCCTCTGTTCCGGCGTCCAGCAAAAATAGAATCGATCCTATTTTTGCCGGACGCCGGAGCACCTCCGCAGTAAATGGACAGAAATCACAAACGCCCAACAGGAAAAGGAGCGAGCACAACTTCCGTTTTTCACAATACATCGATAAACAAAATGCGTTTTTTGTTTCATATGAACAGGTTTAACAACTTTTAACAACTATCAATGGTGGCTGAAGTTTAAATGCACAAAAGTAAGCCATAAATACAGTTTCCACTATCAAAGTAGTCACACTTTGTTGATCCAAACACTGCTGATCTGTCAACACAAATGATGGGCAGATTAAACTGTTCATTTCGATGCTTCTCCCACACAACGGGTGTTTGGATCTAACTTCCGCGTTTATTGCTCGGACTGTATCGCAAGATCTCGAAAATCCCACGCATGCTTGTTTGCCCACCTCAGGTCTGCGGAGCGGAGCCGTTGTAGAGCGGGTACCAGTAAAAATTGAGTTCGGAAGCGAGCGGCTGCGGAAGGCGGGGGCGGACCGGAGCGGAGCGGAGATAGTGGAATTTGGGGGTTAGGGTCAGCAGAGTGCCGTCCAGCATGAATTTGGTTAAGTTTATGCCTCAAGAATCACTGAAAGTAATTAGAAAGCAATAGTTTGAAGTGTTAAAACTCCCAAGTGTTGCTTTAATCGATCTGAGGAATCTATCTGTTATTGTGCCTTACAAATGGCATTTTCCTCTGCTGAAAGGTGGTGGCTTATTGTAGGATGTGGGTAAAGCTGGCAGAAGGAGGGCAAAACACACCTAGGGTGTTTGATGCACATCAATAAAGTCACCTCCGTTATTTTAAATTACGGCTGCCACACACTTGTAGCATGCAGTGATATATGTAGCATACATATATTTACCATAAAAAAGCAAAGATACCTGTGCCGGCTTGTTCACGTACACGAGAGACACGAGCGTTCCTTTTACTGATGTTTAATGCGGTCTTGCATCTTCTTTATCTTTACACCACATGAACACCGTAGAACTAATGAAAAAGCATAAATCGTGTACAAATTAACAAGTTAGTTGCCTTAAGTTTGCTAACATATAGAGTTTATAAATAAAGAATAAACATGCCACTTTGGCCTGCTAGTAGACAAACCGGTAGACTTGAAAACACTTAACTTTCTTCTCGAATGTTCTTAATTGGCACAAATTTGTCCGTTCACATTCACGTCAATAAAATCTCCGAAGCTACGAGAGACAGGAAGTGACATCACAGTGCTCTTAAACACACCTTATCAAAATAAACCAATTCAAGATTACTCAAATATCAAAAATTATTAATTCTGTGCACCTGTAAATGTTACTAAATGTATTGAAAACATGAAAAAAAAATATTTTAAATAAACATGTTAAATAAACTTTCTAGGGCATTCACAAAGTCACAGTGCCATCTTGTGGTGAAACTTTGAACAAAAAAGTTGCTTAAACTGCCTTTACAATACCAATTTTTTTAATCAGAGCGAGTACTTGTCAATACAGAGTGCTAATAAATGTTTGGTACAGCAGGGAAAAGGCAATACTTTATTTTGGCTTTTATGTTTTGTGGTACATTCCTGTGTCTAGTATAAATGTTATGGCTGAAATCATAAGTGGGTTTTATGTGAGGTGCAGAGCTCTGAGGCGCCCCCTGGCGGTTGTTTCTGGTAATGCATTCATACGTCTGCTTTTCCAGTGCGTGCCGACGTGGCGTGAGGTGGAAAAGCATCACTTTAAAGTACTGCAGGGATATTTGGCACATCTTTAAAAAAACAACGAGCTGTGTTAATGTCTGTTCGGCAGCTGAAACAGAAAACCATTTCTAACGAGTGATTCTCCATTTGCTGTCAGAGACCCGTTCCTTCTTATCGTGTTTTTCCTCTCTGATTAGTTAAATCTTATAAATATTAATGCGGCACAGACTCCCAGCGTTGGTCATTAGACCAGATGTGGTTCTCATTCTGAATGTGCCCGTGTTGCTTGATGATGTGTGAAAATAATTGTTCTGTGGTACTCAGGCCAAAAAAAAAAAAAAAAAAAGAAATCTTTACTCATTATTTATCCATGGAGATCGCTAACCAAGCAGCACTTTCTGATTATCAATCCTCTTAGGCTTAAAGTGATCTGTTCTTTCTGCCTTTACCTCCCCCAGCTGATTGATTACGCCAAGAAGGGAGACACTGACGAGAAGGCGATGAAAATGGCCAGTTTTTGGCTCACGGTACGTGTCCGCATCTCTTCTCATCCCTCTGAAGTTACGAGCTGTGCAACGCTGAATGTAAAACAGCCCAACTGATGTTTACTCGCTGCTTCTTCGTTCCAGGAAAAGGACCTCGTCCCGAAGCTCTTTAAAGTCCTCGCCCCGCGGTTTGAAACGCAGTCCAACGGCTACACGCGGATGGCACGCATTCCTAACCGGGAGAACCTGGACAAGGCCAAGATGGCCGTCCTGGAGTACAAAGGCAACCCGTTTCCTCCGCTCTACCCAGCGAAGAAAGAGAATGAACTGACTCTGATCAACCAGCTGCTCAGAGGCTACAGAGAAGAGAGGGCACGGCGTTAGCAGCAAACCCCTAAAAAGCACCTTCTTGTTGGATGTGATGGATGCTTTTGCTGCATAAAGACCTTGATGCATTTCTTCTCATGTGTGCCATCAGAAATGAACGAGCTGAGTCTGACCAAATAAATGTTTATTCTCGAGTCACGCTCATATTTCTTCCATCACTTTTGTTTAGCTTCCTGAACTCCACGGTTTGGCCAACAAGAAGTATGCAAATAAAACGAGTAGCTTTTTTTTAATATATATTTAAACAATTCATACATTTTTAATACTGTTTATAATGAGAAGGTAAAAGCCGCCTCAGCAGAAACACGTTTATACGTTTTAAATAATGCAGCGTCTCTGATTAGATCCTCTGTTGTGTGAAAAGTTATGAAATTTTAATAAAAATATGTTCGATCCTCACCGTAAGTCCCAGTTATACTCAAACCGCTAACTTCTCACTAGTTTCATCTGTGATTGAACATTCTCGTGCTACAGAGGACCTCCTCAATTATTTGGTGTTTGTTGGTTGAGCTTAATTCCCCTTAAGAAACAAAAACTAATTCTGGTGACAAAAACACATATCAGAAAGAAGAAAATAGCCCCAAGACACGTTGCGTTCTTTTTGGTAATCATTGGGACTGATTTTTGCTCTCATTGTCTGATTTTTTTATGACATCTGCACATATTGAGGGCCACGTGAGACACGCATTTGACTGTTTTCACGCACCCAAAATCTCTCACGCTGGAAGAGAAGTGAATCTGTAATAAAAGTATGTTGCACATTGCTTCCCTAGCTTCAAGCGCTACAAGTTCAATTTAAATTGACCTCACATGAGCGAGAAGGGGGAAATGACGCCCTCCTGTGGCGAAAAGCTAGAAATAAACAGGAATGTTTTATGCTGCTTATCTCAGTGAAGCTGGAAAAATAAATCACATTTTTGCACTCTGGTGTGTTACGGAGAAGGAGCAGAATAATGGAACTGCACTTATAAAGTTTCAAGAGTTAATAAAAACACTTGTAAATAAATTGAAAATGAAACGCCACAGCGTGTTTGCGTTAGCAACAGTTTTTTTTCTTGTTATGTGTTGCTAAAACACAATTCAAATGATATTTATCTAACAAAGATAAACACAGTGGTTGTGCTCAGTGGCGGGCTGGTTTCTAAGAGCACAGAGACGTGAAAGTTCCCCGTATTATTGAAGTGAATGGACTATTGGTCATTTCTGTCTGGCTTAAAGGATTTTTCCGCCCTCTAGCGGACTGAAATCGTAAGTACAGGAAGTGTTAATAAAGCTAAACAAGACATTATACGTTAGCACTTCCTGTACGTTCCTTCAAAATAAAACACTTAAAATTACTACGGTTTTGAATTAGCAATATAAGCATAGTTAGGGCTGCCAACTCTCACGCATGACACACGCATTTGACTCTTAACCACGCTCTCGTGTCACACCCCCAATTTCTCATGCTGAAAGTCAATCTGTCAGAGGTGCTAACTCCCATAGCTACAGGCAACAAGTTCCACTTTTAACTGAGCAAGAAGAGGACTGACGCCCTCCTGTGGCGACAAGATAGAACTGAACTGTGTTTATATTTAGACAATATTTGACCCTACTTATCTCAGTGAAGCTGGAAATTTTTGTCCACTTGTGTCTATCATGGAGAAGAAGGAGGAGGAGAAACCAGAGAACTGCACGTTTAAAGTTAGTAAAGTTAGTAGAAACACTTCCTGTAAATTACTTCAAAATTAATAACCACAATTTTATTTATGTAACAATAATAAACACAATGGTTGTATGCAACTGCTGACTTGCCATCAGGAGCACTGTGTTATTTAGATTTTTTTTTTCAAAACTTTATTGAACAAGGTGAAAGCTGTGTTATTTATATTTATATCCTGTCTGGCTTTAAAGATGTACCGCCCACTAGTGGACAAAAACATCACTACAGGAAGCGCTAATAAAGTCATACATGATATCACGCATTAGCACTTCTCTTAACTTCCTTCAAAATAAAACATGCCAGTAAAAACGACTACGGTTTAATATTAGTAATACAGCATTACTAGACTAAATGTAACAGGAAAGCCAGAATGTTGTCACTTATAAAATCTACTAAACTACTGAAATTCAATAAATCTGTGCCATTTGTGTTCAACAAGCTTAAAGAGCAAGTAACGTCTAAATTAACTTTTTTTTGCTGATGAACTGTATGAATGAGTGTCTAATAGTGTTTTAAATGTGTGTATTCATTATTTTAGCATTTTGGTGCATTTTCTTTAAAAATTAAAAATTCTGCCTAAATACCACAGTATAGCTCCACCTTCAGCTTAAAACATAGAATTTGACTCATTTTGAATACATTTTAGCCAATGGCTAAAGAGTAAGATACTACAGAAACCAGTAGAGTACTACGTAGCAGCTCTGTGTCAACGTTATAAAGCAACGAGCGTCTTGGCCACACCTTGTGGCGAGTTGGGAGTTGGATTTGCGAGCAGTGTAGGAGGCTAGCCGTAGTTCAGCATTAGCGTATAACATTAGCATATCCTAGTCTTTAGCATAGCTTTTAGTGTTATACATACTTATTTAGTGTTAGCTTGGCTGTTGGATATTGTAGTTTAGTTACTGTTTGGCTGTTAGTGTAATCAGGAAAGTAGTTCGGGTTTAGTGCTCCATATCGTGTTAGCATGGTGAGATGGTGTAGTGTAGTATGGTTGCGGAGCTCCGCTGGACTTAGAAATTAGGCGCCAGTGGTTGCGTGTCTGGAAAAGATTCAGCTCCCGCCTGGTGCTGTAGTTTGCAACCAGCATTTTACCCGCGATTCTGCACGTCTCCGTTCCAAGAGGGAGGCTGTGCCCACCGTGGCTCTTCCGCGATTTAGATACAGCCCACCGACTCTGCTCCCCCACCATGACGGGCTACAGTCTGAGGTGAGTAAGCTAAATAAAAGTTTTAACATCTTCTAAAGACAATTCCCTTCCTAAATGCAAAGTTTGAGAGACATGGTTCACTCCATTTAGCTAATATCAGCCTGCACTGCCTTCGGGCTGGTCAAGTTCACAAAATGTGGAACGGGAGGTTAGAATCAGCGGCGAATCGGAACATATCTCGAAGCCCTGGCCGACAAAACGGTCCACATGACTGTCAGGCTCAGAGAAAATTCGGGTTGTTTTTGTGTCAGTCGGTAATTCTGCAACAGTGTTTCTAACTAATGCAGCACTAGTTGACACACAGCATTACAGCGTGAAATCCAGCACAGCGTGACCCGGTTCTGTGAGAAATTCTGTTCAGGAGGTCGCATTTCAGGATCTCCACATCATATGTGACTGACTTTTACGTTATAATAACATCACACACTAGGAATGTTATAAAGCGCCTATATGGGACAGTTTCTTTTGTATTTTATCTGACTTTATAAACATCAATGTGCTTCTATTTTTTTTTCATGAACGAGCTGCAGAAGGAACTATTAGCAGTTAGCTAACAGCACATCAAACACGTCGGATCACACGCCCTCTAGTGGCAACAATGCGAAATTAAATCCACGGCAAGCTTAAAGGCATGTTTCTCTTAACAAATTAATCAATGATAGGTAAAAGTAAATAAATATATTTAGTAACAAATTTTACCACTGTTAAAGGATTCATATTTTTCAGGTCAACTGGATGGAAACACATTTTGAGATTAAGGATTTTTCCGCCCTCTAGCGGCCAGAATTTGTTACTTACGAGCAACGTTCATAAAGTTAAACACAACATTACTTTTTGGCTTTTCCTGTAATTTCCTTCAAAATAAAACATAACACATAAAAATTATTACGGTTTTAAATTCGTGGTACAGCATACATAATGGACTAAATGATGGGGAAGCCAGAACGTCTTTACTTATAAAAACTACTTAACTACTAAAGCTCAATAAATATATTTTAATTATCTGTGTTTAACAAGATTAAATAAATGAGATACAGAAGGAGCTATAAGCAGCTAGCTAACAGCACAACAAACATATCAGATTATACGCCCTCTAGTGGCAACAAGGCTAAATTAAATTCACGGTAGCCTTGTGCAGATTTTTCTTAATAAATTAAATTTAGCAAATAATGGGTAATATAAAATAAATATACGTAGTAACAAAATTTTACGAGCATAACATTTTTTTTCTAATCAAACATGTCAGATTTAAAACTATTTCTTACTTCAAAGACCAATTAATACCAAACAACATCTAATAAACACACTAGACATTCATTCAGACACTGAATTATTTTATTTTATTTTTAAAAGTTCATATTTTATTTTGAATAGGAAAACATGTATTTGGATTTCACAATGAATGTATAAAAAACTCAAATAAAATACAAGACAAAAACAAATAAAGTCAACTAAAAAAAACAATTAGGCAAAAAGGCTACTGAAAAGCAGAATAAATGTTTGACCACAACAGTTTTTTTTAATTTACTTGTTTAATCAGATAAATGTTGCCCTTTTAATTGCTTGCAATAAAGCACAATTATAGAGGCAATTATATTAGGGATGCTCCGATCAGGTTTTAATCTGCCGATCACCGATACCGATCAGCCAAGAGGCCGATCATGGCCGATCAGCCGATTACCGATACCAGTTACATAGATTGGCTGTAAATTGTTCATTTAGCTATGGAGAGTTCTAATGCATGTGTTACATATTAATTCAGAAAAAACATGGTTTTACTTCACTTCAAATTATGTAATATCAGCAACAATTTATAAGAAATTGAAAACATTAAGGCTCTCTTTAGGCTACAAATAGTGCAAAAAAAGTCAATATCTCACATCACTGCCTAAATCAAATTAAGTAACCAAGGATACATTCAGCTACATCCAGCGAGCAGTTAAGCTCAGCATTGACACAGGACTGACATCTGAGCTCCAAATGTCACTTGTGAAACTCACAGAGGATGAGACACTTTCTTGAAGGAGTCCCTCGATGAAAGAATACACTGTCTAGTGGAGCTCTGGAAGGGCTACGTCGGCGAAATATTTGCGTCCCCGTAGCATGTAGCGAGGTTCCGAGTGGGTTAGTAGTCGGCGGAATCCGGCGTCTTCCACAACTGAAAAAGGCTGGTCGTCTAGTCCAATAAACTCAATGATTTTACGGGTAATTTGCTTAGCCTTTTG